TATTCGCGAGAACAATTATTATTGAGCAGATTTTTATATAAAATATGAATTTAGTTAATTCGGGGAGATCGATTAAATTTATACGAATTTAAATATATTAGATTTAATTTTATTATATTTATTTATTTATTTTTAATCATTTGCAACCACGATTCGATATACACATTGATCTTAAGATTTAAAATTGATCGAATTAGTCAACATGGTCCCAGGGATTATTATAACGTTCGAACATGATTTGTCGTTAATTACAGCTCCGCGTGATTCGATGCAGCGTCCCTTTCACAACGATATTCTGCGACAGATTCCATCGAGATTCCGGCGCCGCGTACGCGGTTCACCATGGTTGAATTTCGTTCCGTCGGCCTCGCCGACTCGCATCGGAAGCGGAAAAAGGAGGGGGGGAAGTGAGGACAACGATGTGTCTGAGCAAATATTGACAGACGATTCGGCGCTGAAGCGTTTGACATTTGAACAATCTTGGCCGGTGCATCGCGACACGCGGCAGAAACGTGCCGTTACTGCGCGCAATACCGGCAACTTTGTTCGCGTTGATAAACGAGCCTAGAAAAGTTTCCCCATGGTCTCCGCCTGTCAAGGCTACACGATGTGAGAGGTAGGAAAGCGCCGCGAAAGAGCGGCTGCGAGCCAAACGAAGCTTCCCGCGGCCGGTACACGTTTTCATTGACGCGCGCGTGGCTTCGACCTTATTATTTATAACAGAGTTAGGGCAGAAACTAAGCTAAACAGTCGTAACGAAACCTCGCTAAACATACCGAGGTCCAACAGCGACTGACAAGCGTTGCCTTTTTTATGAGAATTACGAGATATAATTTATTGAAATTTGTTCGCGATTTTTATAATAACGTGCGCGCAGGTAAATAAATATTTTCGACAATTTCAAATGGGACCAGCTTTTCGACTTTAATAATTATAAAATAGAAAATGTGAAGCCGGTCATTTGATCGACGTTGCTAGGTTGTCATTTGCAAAGAATGACATTCTTAATTATTAATGCCATAAAAAGAAAGCAATGCTTTTATAGTTAGAAACGACCTTAATATTTATAACAGGGTTAGGGCGAAAACTAAGCTAAACAGTCGTAACGAAACCTCGCTAAACATACCGAGGTCCAACAGCGACTGACAAGCGTTGCCTTTTTTATGAGAATTACGAGATATAATTTATTGAAATTTGTCCGCGATTTTTATAATAACGTGCGCGCACGACTTTAATAATCATAAAATAGAAAATGTGAAGCCGGTCATTTGATCGACGTTGCTAGGTTATGTTATTTGCAAAGAATGACATTCTTAATTATTAATGCCATAAAAAGAAAGCAATGCTCTTATAGTCAGAAACAATTACACCGACACCGACAGCGAACGGTATCTGCCATGTGCAATGTACAATAACAACGTATCGGGCAATCGATTTTATCTTGTCCGATTTGAAACTACAGTGAAGTTCGATAGCGACGAGATAACGGCACTACGCGCGACGATAGAATCCCGAATAACCGTATTAAATCGTGTTAAATCGTATTCGATCTGTTACCTGTATTATCGGAAATATTTCAACCTTTGGCTCGACACTCGAAACTTTAAAAGATTTTAAAGCGTTTCAATGGATCCGAGCGAACGAAGACGATCGTCGTCTATCGATTCACGGTCGCAATCGATTGCAAAAGTACGTTTCTCGAGCGCGGTGCTTCTTCGTACGGGAACAGTTTCGCGCGGTGTTCCTTTCGAACGTGTCAAGTATTTTGCGCAGCAGTTCGACTCGATAACGGTTTCGCCGCGCACGGAACAGATTTTAATGTCAACTTTGCAATAACACCTGTGCAATTAATTACTGTGCGGAAATCGTACAGTTCGTCGGTACAGGTTGTGACACGCCACCCGAGCAACGCGCCCGTCCCGATGTTCGCTATTCGAGTTGTACAATGCTCCGCGACAATTAACTTCGGACGGTGTAGGGTAAGTCTAGGTATTACCGCGGTTTCTCAACGAAGGCGAACTTTGACAGTGGAAACAAGACATTTTACGCTGATAAATTGACGACTCGAGCTATAAAGTATAAATATTCTTTAACTCAAGTATTTACTTTTCGCAAAATATTGCATCTCCGAAAGCGCGAATTTCGTTGAAAAGCGTAATGTAAACAAACCATACGCGTGCATATATTAACACTAGATCTACCGAACCAGTCAAAATGACTGGTTTCCGGCCTTTTATTTTGCAATTCCCAATAATACAAGAATGTTTTTGTCAGAAATTTTTACACGAACATCTTCATTCAAGAAAATATAATAAAAATCGTAAGAAGTTTAAGTAAATCCAATCTTGTCGTTGTTATAAAACAATATACATTGGTCACGTTTAGGGCTCGGTAATTCTAGTGTTAATGGGATTATGTATTTACTACTGCGAACGTTACGATTGTTGCGTGTCAAATACCGTGGACGTCCCGATTACCGCATGTAAAAGTGTCTTCTAGACACCGAAAACCACGAAGTCCAGATTTAAGATCATAATTGCAAGCTTCAGCACACGGTCTGTCACCTCGGAAATTCATTTTGAAGTCTGCACAAATATTTCCGTCATCCAAGTGCGAATAACGCGGCGGTTAACGCGATTTGTAACGACCGCGAGACACCGTATTTATGCGTAAAATGTTATAACATTTTACGCAAATCCGTGCTATACGACACTGATCTATTGGCAGACAATTTTGGGATACTTAACACGTCGACTGCCATGCTAAAAGTCTCGAACATTTCGTAAAATCAAAGTAATGTGTTTAGTGAAATTGAGATTGAAGAATTGAGTTGTGCGACAAGAATTATTTTTAAAAAATTAGAAATGTTATATATATATTATAATTATTACTACTATTGTAAATATTATAATCTACTATATCTTTTCAAAAATAATTATATATATTATTATTTATTATATTGTACATATTATATATTTATTATATTATATTATACTATATTATATTATATTATACTATATTATATTATATTTATTACGCATATATTGTGTTTTATAAATATATATATATATTATAATCTACTATATCTCTCCAATTTTTCACAAACAATTCTTGTCACACAACTTAATTTTTTATAAATATATGTCTGCTGCAGTGAAAAAGGTTAAGACGTTGCTACTAATCCGTAGACTCGTACACCACGAACATTAAATGTTAGTTCTACGTTCGGCATTTTCCGAATGGGACTCATTATGGTTTCAATTTACATCTCACCGCGATTCACTGCTTCCGACGTTTTTTCGCGTAAGGCGAACGGAATCGTTTGTTCCGGACGAAATTATGATTAATTATCACACTTTAGAAATCGTTAAAAATAAGTAACCCTGACATTCCTGTCTCGCTGCTGCACCGTTACAATTAATTCTTAACTAGGCGCAGTGGCGGTACTGCAGAATTAGACGCACGTGTCCCCCGGTGCCTCCTATATTTATTTAGGGCCAGAGTTGCGCTAATTCAATTACATTGTAATTCGATCACTTATTATGTATTTATATAGATCTAAAAGAAATTCAATTAATTATTGCTCATTCGGCGCAACGCGTCTGATAAATATAATTATAAATGGTAAACTGTGAATAAATAACAGTTGCATTGTAATTGTCAATACAATATAATTACAATATAATTGGAATAATATAATACAAATATAATACAATATAATTGAACAAATTTGTAATTGTAATTCCTTGAGTTATTCATCTGTAATTCTGCACAACTCTGCTTCACGGGTCAATAATTTTAACACCTGTTTTAAATTATATTGTGCACTATAAATTTTACACTTTATATTTTTATACTTTTTATTTCTTTTTATATCTTTACTTATACTTTTCACTTTATATTTTCACTTGTACTTTTTACTGTATATTTTTATTTACACTTTTTATTTTATATTTTTACTTTATATCTTTGCTTATACTTTTTATTTTATATTTTTGCTTTATATTTTATATTTTTACTTTATATTTTTACTTATACCTTTTACTTCATATTTTTGATTTATATTTTTACTTATATTCTCTATTTTCTACTTTTCTTTTTATTTCATATTTTTACTTTATATCTTTGCTTATACTTTTTACTTTATATTTTTACTTACACTTTTTCACTTTATATTTATACTTTACATTTTTACTTACACTTTTTTACTTTATATTTATACTTTACATTTTTACTTACACTTTTTTACTTTATATTTACACTTCATATTTTCACTTACACTTTTTACTCTTTATTTCTTATACTTTTTATGCTTTGATCAGCAGTTTCAAATTCTGACAAATAACAAAACGTGTTCTCGTGCTTAAAATTTCGTTTTTATATGATTTTATTATTTCGTGCACAAACTCCCGCCTTATACGAGGCTAGATTAAATATATTAACCACCGATAATTGTTCAGTAGCTTACCAAAATCCGATCTCGTTGATTTCTCGTCACCCCTAAAAATTTCCGTGTCGAACAGCGGCGCGGCGTCTCGATAACGCAATACATTCGCACGCACGAAGCCGAGAGGCGGCCGGACTCGCCAATAACGAACGTAAACATTCGAACAACGATATACATACATATAGGGTGTGCTTCTTAAACGGCGTATATCGCCGGCATGGCACAGTTCCTGCTCCCGAAATAACGCGGGTTTTCTAAAACCGTCACAGTTCATACATCACTTTCTAAACTCTCCGCGAGCCGTTCAATTTAGACCGATCATCGATTTGTCTTCGAAGATGCTTGTTTCGCGTGGATATACATAGATACCAATCTTAACAACCGACTGCCGCATACCATAGCTCGATTGCCCAATGATTAAAACGTTCGTCGAGCACGTCATGGAATATGTCGTACGTTAGAATAGTGGATTTTATGGATTCGTGAGGAAAAATGTATAGAATTATTGGGTTGGCAACTAAGTAATTGCCGATTTGTTCAATGAAATAAAAAATTTCTTTTGACTTGGAATGAAGTTTAATCTGTAATATGTATTTTCCATTTCGTTCGATGACCTTTTGCCATCTCTCTGACATCTTGAAAATTCCACGCTCGTAGAAAGTCTGATCCTTTTCGGCCAAAAACTGAGTTAAGTGAGATTTTACAGCGTCATCATCATTAAAAGTTTTACCACGAGGGGAGTTGTCCAGGGATCGATATAAGTGGTAATCCGATGGCGCGAGATCAGGGCTATATGGTGGGTGTAACATCAATTCCCAACCAATATCCATCAATTTTTGCCGAGTGGACAAAGACGTGTGCGGCCTAGCATTGTCCTGGTGGAAAATGACACCTTTACGATTGACCAATTCTGGTCACTTTTCCTTGACCGCTGCATTCAATTTGTCCAGTTGCTAACATTCACGGATAATAAAAAATAACAATAATAATAATAATAATTTTATAATATAACATTTACGGATATCATAAAAATGGGAGTGAGAGACATCTATAACTGATATCGGCAATTACTTAGTTGTCAACCCAATAGATAGAGAACTGTGGAGATGTTGGAAAGTTCGAGGATATTGTTACATTATTTTCAAGTTATTGCGATTATTAGAAAAGGAGAGACATTTTTATTTTACCGTTTTAAATCTTGTCCATTTTTCCTATCAATTTGATGCTGACGTCTTTTTTTGTAATAAATCGTTGTGGGTAATTTAAAAGTTTAAATTGTTGCGGATAATTTAAAAGTTTAAATTGTTACGGATAATTTACATGTTTAAATTGTTGCGGATAATTTAAATGTTTAAATTGATATAGGTAATTTAAATATTTAAACTGCTATGGATAATTCAAATGTTAATCGTTACGGATAATTTGAATGTTTAAATTGTTACTACACTTCGGATACATAAAAAAATCTATTTTGCTATTTATTCGCAGAAAAATCATAAATCTTTGTTCCCCGAAATGATCGTTTTGGGCTATCAACGATTTGCTCCGTGTCTCAGATGATGAATCACATCGCTGTTTTGATATTCGCGTCAGTTGAATAATGCTGAATTTGCGGCAGCGTGCAACGATCTGCTCGGACAAGGTCTAATGAATAAGCGAGATGAATCAGTGGAAATTTGCCTAGCTCGCACACACACACGTACACACACATACACACACACAGTGTGCGATTTTCTCAATTCAGCAAATTTCGTTCCTTGTACGAAAGTTGATCGCAAAGTTCACGGGAATTGTGATTGTAACGTGTAGGCAACTCCTAAAACGGGGTAGAATCGTCCGAACTTCAGGTTTGATGCATTTGCAATAGAATTGAACGAGCAAATTGAATTGAAAATAGCAAGATTTTTGGGAGGAATCTAGAGACGCTACGCCGTTCGAGTGTTAAAATAAGGAGCTTATCCTAATCAAATTGTATAAATTTCAGTTGTTACGTTTTATATTAAAATTTGATTCGATCGATAATTTACCATGTGTAATTAATTAAATTAAATTTTATTCGTTCGACGCGTATATTTTAAAAAATTGTAGGGCAGAGTAAAAGTCACGCGGAATTAGAACAATATACTTATTAATGTACATGTGAATAGAAAGGACGAAATATGTATTATTATTATTATTATTATTATTATTATTATTATTATTATTATTATTTATATTCTTTCTATCGACAAGTGTATCGACAAATAAGTCGCGCAATTTTCTATACAATATTAACATTAATTCACACAGCAAATGCTCATCAAATTCTCGTGCACGGCCGCGCAATTTTTCCTCGCCTCTTTTAACAACTATCGAAACACGCATCGACAAAAAACAATCGCAAAAGTCTCGCGATTAAAACGCATAAAAACGTCGCTGGTTCAAAGGCCAAAGAATCGCTTTGCTTTCGACCGAAACCCAAAAAACACGGGGAATTCCAGCTTGCCAATTTATTTCAACCAAAAAACCATCGATAACGAGCCGAGCTGATCG